CTTGTTCATAGTCCTATGAATGGATACGAGGTTTAGAATTGCTCTCTCAAAACTCATATTTCACCCCACCCTCCTTTTTTCTATGGCTAGAATATACTTCAAATGAATACCAAAACTCATCTCTAATTAATTTTAACAATAACACATTCTCTAATTACTTTAAGCAGTATTTACCGTGTTATTATGAAAAAGCAGTAACTACATCCCTGCTCATACAAGCTTACATTTGGAGGATCACTGATCAATGGATGATCCTTCCACCTTCCATCAAGCTTCCCAGGCTCATGTGACCTAGAGAGACACAAACAGCTTAACTATGTACTAATAACTTCAGGGGAAAAACAAACCTTCTTTTCTTAAACTAAGGCACATCTCATTTATTGCAAATTGCACTACAGATCCCCTTTTACTTGGATTATTTTTACACACCTCATCAACTCAGACTTTACTTTATTCTTGAAAGCACAACAAATAATAAAAAGATGGTGCCAAATGCCTTACTGCTCCTCAGTCTCCTGAATGCTACAGTCTGAGTAACTGGAGAGTTGGTCTCCACTGTCCTCCAGCATATCATGGGGAAGGTCTGTCAACAATTGTTGCAACTGAAATAGAACAAACAACACTCATTATATGCTCTTCAGAAAAATTAATACAAGTTGTGCCCAAAAACATTGGCAAAATAGGCTACTTGCAAAAAATCCTGGTTTTCTTCCTCCAAGGAAAAATTCACAACATTGGAATTCACAAAGAGATTTTTACCACAGAATGCTTACTAGACTAGAGTGCCAACCAAAGCATTTTTCTGCCAAACTCTTGTTAAGAAAAGAGCTGCACCAGAAAGAGGGAACGGAAATGCCATCTTGTACACGTGTCCCAAGACAGACTAATTCAAAGAGTCATCTGCAAACTGACGATGCCAGGATTTCTCCTCTCTAAACTTCAGACTAGAGAGGTAGTGGAGATTCAAAACAAGCTCTTTCTGAGAAGTCTGGATGGAAATGCAGATAAGAACTTGCCAGTCAGTATCACTATGTTCAAGAAGTCATCACTGCAATGATTAGTGCTCTGCTCTGGACCAAGCAACTGGACACAGGGAAAAACACCACAAGTAAAACACACCCCAACTTCACTTCTTATGCTTTCCAAGAGTGGCACAGTCTGTACCCTCTTTTGCTCTTACCAGACTATATAAACCTTTTACTTTCTTTTTATGTGCTTAAAAGATAGGAAGAAGCTAAATTCACAAGCCTTCCATTTAAATTACTCAATTCTTTTTCACCTCTTGTTCTCTTGCATAATCTTCTTGGTCATAGTCTTCATCTTCATGTTGAGTTTGTAGAACTCCACTATCAAAGTCAAGGGACATTGTTTTCTAATATTGATTTTCCGTATCCAGCAAAACCTACCACAGGACAGGAAAACATCACACGTGAGTAAAATACATGAGGAATCAAAAAGCACCACCCTCATCACCTGAATTACTTAATATGAAAATATAATCCTTGAAACAGCCATTGCACATTACTTATTAGTTTCTCCTATATCCAAGCCTACTCACTTCCAATAATTTAGTATTTGAAACAAATATTTAGGTTTTATTATGTTATAGGCTGACATAATTTCTGAAGTTCATTTACAAGCAGACATTATTTTCTGCAAGTTCTAGTACTCTACAGTATACAGATGATGTGACACATGATGATAGTTATGCCCACTTTTGCATCTTGCTCTGTAGTCCTCTAGAGAATAACTACATTTTGTATTAACAACCGAAAGAATGCTGTTCCTTGTGCATTTGGATAACAGCCCCAAAAGGAAAAATAGGAAAACTATCACAGAAATCTAAAAAGCATCACATGAGTTCCAGATTTCACTGCTTAAGAAGAGACCCTTGACTCCCAAGGGCCTGTGTACACTGAGCAGTCGCTCACACAAAGCTACTGGGTATAAGTGCTGACCCACGTTTGGTTACAAGATAAATTACTCCTTGTTGAAGGAACACTTGTTTGGGCACACAGGTGTAACACACACTGAAGCCTTCACTTGGTATAATGAAACAATTCAAGAGCATTATTTCCAAGTTAAAAGTCACGTTTTAAAGGACCTTCTTGCCCACTGCTGTTCACGGAAACTCTCCAGCCGAGCTGGCAGGAGGCCTCACAACGCAGCCCCTGTCTCCGTGCACCCCGTACCCCCTCTCACAGGAGGCTCCCGCTTCCCCACGCCGCACCAGCGGAACACGACCATCGGCCCCGGCCCCTTTCCGTAGGGCCCTCACCACCCCGGCAGCGAAGGAGCCGGTCGGGAGTGCAGAGCCGCCAGAGCCGGGACCGGCCCGGAGACCGGACCCGGGCGGGCCGGGGCAGCTCCAGGGGCGCGGGGCGAGCTCGGCCGCTGTCCCTCAGCCCCCAGACGGCGGCGCGGGCCGGCGGGGGCGATGCTGTCGTAATGCAGCGCACTCCCGCGGGGCCCCCGGGGCCGCAGACGGCGGCAAAGCACGGCCCGAGCAGCGGAACCCACCTGAGCCGCCGCGGCCACCCGCCCTCCGCAGCCACCGCCGGGCCCGGCCCGCCGCTCTTCCGCATCACTGCCGGCCCGCGCTCGCCGCGCTGATTGACAGCCCCGGGCACCAACCGGCGGCCAGAACCGCCCCGAGCCGCGCTGACTGACAGCCTCGAGCACCAACCGGCGGCCAGAACCGCCCAGCCGCGCGGGAGGCCGGGCCCGCCCCCGCCGATTGTTTGAAAGCAGGCGCGCATGGTCGCGGGAACGCGCCTGGCGAGCTGATTGGCCGAGCAGGCTACCAATGGCGGTGTGAGTTTTGTGGGGGGGCGGGGTCTCCGCGGGCGGGCAGCGGCGCCATCTCGCAGCGGGACGTGGCGGTCGCCTGGCAACGCGCGGCCGCGGGGTGACGTCACGCGCCCGGGAGCTGCGCCTCACGGCAGCGTCAGGATGGCGCTGAGAGGCTCCTGCCCCAGCCCCGTCCCCAGGAGCCTTCGCTGGGGTGCTCGGGAACCCGCTCTGCTTCCAGAGCTCGTTCTCTTTAAACAATTAAAACCTCCCCGGACGGAGCAGATTTATTGCGCAAGTCGCGGGCGGGAAGCAGTTCTGACAGTTGGCTCCGTTTGTAACAGCCCCACCTGGTGCCTCGCCCTCAGCCCGGACAGCGGGAAAGGACGCCGGGGCAGAGATGTTTGGATCATTTGTTAGAGGATTTTTATTGATGGGAGCAAACAGTTCATGTGTTTCAGTGAAACTTACAGAAGTTTGAAAAGGAGCGAACATGCTATGTCTAGTAAATGTCTGACATTGTAGGCGAAATCAGCCCTTTTCCCCACAGAATTCTAATAACCATTCGAACAGAGATTAACCAATACTCATAATTTTCACAGGCATTAAATGACTCAAACAAGAACAAAAAGAGTTTCAATGTGTCTGACAATTCATATTCAGTTTCCCCAGAACAGTATTTTGGAAACTTTCCAGAATTCAGGCAACTATTTTTCTTCTTAGCATGGTTATTTCTAGGACTTCCACAGAGGAGCTGACAGTGTGTTTTACATGAGACAGGTGGGCCACAGAACATCATTAATAGCTTAAATGAAGGCATGTAAATGCTAGAAACCAAAAACTGAGAATTAAGGTAGTTTATTCTAGGAAAATGCATGGATGCGTTGTGTTTGATTTTTATCTGTAATTAGTTGGATTATCTGCTTTCTCTCACATCAAAAGACTTTGATATACTTCTTTATCGTACTAGCACCCAATTATCTGCCTTCCTTTTTACTTCACAGTTCTGCTTCAGACGCTTAAAAATATGCAGGAGCATCAGAACAAGGATTCAGGCCTTTTGAACGTTTTACATTGGTGATATTCAAAGAGAGAGACACACACTGCATTGTACAGTGATCCAAACATCACACACTGGCTCTGGCTGTTCTTATTCAGTGGTTAAGTGAAAACTGATGATGTGAAAAAAGTCCCTGAGTCAGCATCTTGACTGACAAATTCAAGAAACTTTGATCTCATACTATCACAGCTCCAAATGCTCTTATTGATGTCCTGATTAACTTTGATTTGTACTAAAAATAGAGGTGGCATTCTGCACATTTTCCTTCTATGACCTGTCATAAAACTCAGCTTTGATGCAAAAAATCAAAACAGGTCTTTCTCTCCACTTGACATGCCACAAAAGTAGCTGGGTTTGCTTCATTACTTGCTCCATAGTCATATCAAGCACATTCTGAAGTCTGACAAGATGTGAGACTAGAAAGGATATTATGCACGGGGTTGATATCCCACAGTTTCTTGCCGTGGCACAAAGCTCCAGCATGAGCTCCTGTTGGAGACCTTCACAGGTGAGCACCTTGCATAGGACAGAATGGGCATAAGTTTGGGCTGCTAGCCCTGAAGGCTCAGGGTATCCAAAATGCCAGACTATTAGCAAGGAAATCAACTACTAATATTTTAAAGGTTCTCACTGCTTCATTATATGTAATTGAGTAGCTTAATCATATTATTATCAAAGAATGAAATGTATTTTTATAGCTATTAGCTGAGGATAAAAATAAAGATGTTTTCTAGTAGTCTCTAATTGTGGCTCTTTACATTATATTTTCCCCTCCAAGGAAGCTTGTCTTCCATAATTTTATAAGACCTCTCTTCTTGTTTTCTAGTGGAAAGAGCTCATATTACAGTGTTCCATTTACCACAAACATTGGCAAAAAAACAGAATGTATTTTTTATGGTCAAGATTTCCAGCAACTGCTGAACTCCACAACAATTTTCTGCCTTAGGAACTGAGCTGGTGGGGTGGGAGACAGAGAGAATTATGTCTGTTCATGCCAGAGGACATTGCTTGTCTTAAATGCACCATTTCCCTCAAGCCATCACCTGGACTACCAGTTCATTCCCCAAATCTCCCCTGCCTTTCTTCAGTCACTTACTAAATCACCATTTCTTCAACAGGAAGCCAAATAAATCACTGTTCACTCTGAATATAGGATTGTTCATGTTTAGAGTATTTATTGTGGTAAAACAATTAATAGATTTCTTTTAAAAGATTTTTCCATGTTTAGGAACAAATGGACTCTATGTGAAGAGGGGAAAACTATCCTGTTTTAGAAAGAACACTAAGGACACATGCAAAGTTCAAACATCTTTTAAATAATTTTCTCCCAAAATGTATCATTAGTTTTGTTCAGCTTTTCTAGTTTGTAAACAACTATGTAATCAATGAAAATATATTTAGCCTACCTTTAAAAAGATGTTTCCAGTATTAAGTGATAATAATAGTAAAATCATATGCAAGACAAAAATATTAAGATCTAGCATGCTTGTGCCTTAACAAGTTCTATTCCAAAATTATATTACATATATTAATTTCAACTTTGTAAATGTTTGTAATCTCAAATCTTTGAGTAGTCAGACAGTGACAAAAAATTATTAAGAAACTGGACAACCTTTCTGTATTGTGAATGCCATTCATTTCAAACATTACTTGCTAGTAAAGTGCTGTTACAAGCAGAATGAAAATGTTAGTGTCTATCGAAAGATGACATTTTAGTAATATTCAAATTGTACTTGTTTTTGGCAAATAGTTAAAAGCATAGACATGTTTGTTTAACCACCCAAAACTAATTCAGTATAAATAATATTGGTTTCAATAGTTCTATGCTAAAAGGCACATACTAATGTTCCAGCAGTTCTTTCAAGTGAGCTTTTGTATGTAGAGTTTTAATTGTGCTTTTAAATAGTTACTGATTCAGTATGACCTTGAAAGTGACATTTGTGCATGTCTAAAATACCTTGTCACAAATTAATCTCACACTCTGAAGGTGTAATTTTGTTAAGTTTAAGATTATATGTATCTATATAACTATGCTTGTTGATCTCTATAGATCTACATAGATATACACATATACATATATTCATACATACACACACAAAAGGGCTTCTTCTGGAACAGCAGCAGAAAGTGCAGTCTATAGTTTTTTGACTTGTCTTCATAATAGAAAGTTCAGGTATGAATTGTCTCAGGATTTGTGAGATCCAAGGGATTATTTGTGATACTGCATATGTCCCATATTACTCTCTTTTCTTACAGGCTGCTTCAAGCTCACTTCACTTCCAGAAGAGATGATTGGTAAATTGTTTTCCATGTGATACTGAATAAGATGACCCACGCTATCAAATATATGATCTTTGGTTCTCACCTAGTGGAAGAAGCAAAAGAATGTATTTAAGGTTAGATTGTGCTTATAACCAGTTGGACATAAACCTAACACATTAAAACCAAAAGGCACTTACACCACTGAACTCACTTAAGCAGAATCATTAGGCTGTTGACAGCAATACAGATCTCTCCTTTGACCCACCATCAGCTCACAAGAAAAGCAGTGGAAAAGCAAACAGACTGTATGCCCAACTGAGCTGATTCTGCACAGGGGAATGAAATAACCTTTTTTTTTCTCCACAAAAAGAGAGATTTTTCCCTAAATCCCATTGAGGATTACTTTTTTGATTTACTCTCTCCTCAACAACATCACTCAAGACTGCTCTTCTGCCAGAAGAAAATAGAATTGAAGTGACAACAAATCTTTTCTGTATCCAGAAATTCATAATTAAGGATAGAATTATTTATTTCTAGCACTAACAGTGGATGTGTTAAGTATATACACTAATTATCAGCACCTGGATTAACAGTATTTAAGTTCTTCCCTGCTACTTCCACAGTACTTCAGTGCTTCTAAGTTTCTGAACTTTCAAATCTACTGCAGCCACTGGCTATATTTCAATTAACCTGGATGAAATCAAATCACTTCCACTTCACGGAATGCACCCATGCATTTTGATTAAAATATCTGAACAGCACTGAAATTTCATTATATGAAATATTCATACCTTGCCCTCAGGATCCACCAAGAGTAGATGCTTTGCCTGCCCTCCCTGAAGTCCACTGAGGACATACTGACCAGGTGATGTTGTGCTTTCTCGTACCAGAAAATCCCCATCGTTGACTAAAAGGCTCTCTGCTGCTTTCCTGTTCAATTTGCCATGGTAACAATCTTCATTCTTTAGCTGTTGCTTTATTTGTGGCAGAACACAGAGACCAGCTGTGTTGCTTATGGCACACTGCTGAACAGGTTCCGGTAACTCTAAAATTAAATGAAAGGGAATGTATTGGACACTTCACTGAAAACTTCATCCGAAAAGGATGCAAGCCAGTATCTTTATTAGCTTTTAAAAAAATCAAATTATTCAGTCTTGAAGCAAACCAACATTACAGACTCTAAGAATATGCACACATGAATGCTCATGACCCTCCAGTGTATTAGGCAAAATTATCACACCACCTCTTCCCCTACCTTAGATGGGAAAGCCTTTGGTCGCTAGGCAACAGGGATTAGAAAGAGGAATTTTTCTGATGCTGTACTGGTTTGGGGTTATATTTCTTTGTAGGAAAAAGTCAAATTTTCCCTGTAAAAACAAGATTTTTTGGGGCTTTTTAGCTTTTATTTTTTCTCCCCCTCAAGATCTTGTTTTTCCTTCTTCCTTAACAAGCTCTGAAGAGATTGTCACAGATCATTGGGAGAGTCATGTTGAGTGGCTCCAGCTATGTGCAGGAATGTAAGACAACATAGCCAATGTAGCCAGAAGGGAAGGATTACAGCATGATGCATTTGCTGTTAAAAAACGAACAATTACCAAATGTACTAAAAAAACTGGGTGGTTTGGGGTATAGCCAATCAGACTGCAAATGATTCACAGGATTCTTCTAAGGAAAATAAGAGGATACCACTTCTTCAATGGAATTGCACAACCTAAGGCTCCTCGGGATATAAGCAGTTCCTTTTAGAGCATGATACAGCCCCAAGTTAGAAATGTCTCAATGGTCACAGATTTCTTTATTTTGTTTCCTTTATTGTCCAGTCCTTGTTCCACTTTCTTGAGTGGAGCCAACTCTGACATAAAAAACACTCAGTGGGAAACCATAAAAGGCAAAGCTAATAAAGTATATTCAATAATGAGGACAATCAGTAGCAACTATATAATAATTTAATGGATATCCACCACTTTGAGTCCATAAATCAAGTTCAGACATACATTTAATTTATACCACAGGATCAAAGAGTTTGATTTAGAAATTATTGGATGAGATTCAATGGTCACTTATGAAAGAACTGAGAAAAGACAGTCACCATAATCCCACTTTAACCTGGCATGCTACTGCCTGTGAGGCAAAGGCATCTGAGGTCATTTCCACCTTAGCGTGGTTAAGACCTTGAAGATACAGGAGAAGCCTCTTCCTTGAGGCAATGTGCATTCACCCAAACTCCTACCATCCTAAAGATGTGCTTTTTAATACCTGTGGCACTCTATATTCATTGTCATCAATGGACTACAGAAGATGGAAGGTTACTCTGCTCGTTTACATCACTATTTCTGCTCTTTAATACCTTTTCTCTTGAATCTAACAAGGAAAAAGAACAACCAGGATAGATTTCTTCCCCCCATCTTTTCTATATTTCTTATGGGAAACCTGAATCTTTCTCCATGCAGAGAAATGAAAAGCCCCCCTCCTTCCAGTGCTTAGACAGGAATGGCATTGCAATGGGAACCTACTGGCCTGGCGCAGAGGGCTCCCAGGGATCTGTGCTGTTGCTGGACCTCGGGCTGCAGAGGCTGCAGAATGCAGGGACTGGGTGTTGATGTAACATGGATCATCAAAGAGATCTGCTTTGTAGGCAGGTTTCAATGAGGTTGCCTCTTTTATTGTCTTCTGTGATCTCTCATCACATTTACCTGCAATTAGTATATAGTATGCACAGATTTCCTTTTTTTTAACTCAGCTTTCAGCTTTAACTGTAAAAGCTGAAATAGGAATTATGTTCTTCTTTATAGCCCACTAAAGGAATTCAGAAGGAAAATAAAAATGCAAATGAACTTATTTTCCTGTATGTCTAGAAAACACCAGGTCCAAAATTAATTAGAATGAAGTTTTCAGAAATGTTCTGCACTAGTCCAGTTCTGCTTCAATCAATGTCAGCAATGAACCCTCCACAGACTGGAAAGAAATTAATACACATGCCTCTACAGAAACACAAACCATACATGTTATTTGTTGCAAAATCCTTTCCTTCCCCTCTGCACCACAAAAAGAGCTTGTGGGAAGCTGAGCAATTCTCTCGCTTGCTATTCTGGTGGAGAAAGGAGAGATGGAGGAGGTTGGTGCTTTGAGGCTCAGCCTAAAGAGCCCAAGCCACATCTGTCAGGTTAAGATCCAAGCCTAGGAACAAGCTAACAGAATATCCCCTGCAGGGTATGAAAATAATAGCTCTTCAGCTAGCCAAATAGCAGGCATATTTTTGCTCTTCAACAAACGTTTTATTCATAGATCTATTCATTCATTCTTTTATTTGTTCACCCTCTTTTTGTAGAAACCATTTGATTCTCCTTTCCTTGAACTGGAAATAACACAAGAAACTGAAGTATCCCCTACAGACAGTGTAATGGCTCGCTTCAGAGCCGTGCAGGTGGGAAATCAGAAAGGACCTCATTGTGCAGTGAAACAGAGCTGAGTAAATGTGCTCAGGGCATCAGCTGTGGCAAAGGAAGTCCAGAAAGGGATGGAGGCTGATGATCTCCTGGGGTCCCTGAGAGCAGATTTTGCTAAAGGCAAATTGATCCTGGGCACAAAGCTGCCTAAGGCAGGGGAAGGGCACAGTCACACTGAGAAGCCAGGGATGCTGGAAGCAAGGGGCCAGGCTCTGTTGGAAAAACCCAATGCTGATACTTTGGATCTCACTGAGCATTTGCAGGAGAAGGGATATATTCAGAGACTGATAAGTAATGAAATATCTTCCTTTTTCAAATGGTATGAAGAAAGGGAATAAACCAACAAAGAGTATGAAAGAGAATTAAAAAAACAAAGAGCTACTGTACAGTATCATGAGAAGTAAAATGAGTAAGTCTGCCAGCAGACATGAAGATAGATTAGTGGCCTTTAGAAAAGCTGTAAGGCTTTTTTGTCTGCCCTTCATCTGGGGAACTAAAAATGACCCACTAAGTAGAACACTTTTCACCATTGTATTGAAAGCCAAGGGGCAGCTCTTTCAGGCAGCCTGCCCTGGTTAATTCTGCAGATGCATGAGAAGGAAAAGAGAGTACATACCCACAGTTTTGTTTTCTTCTGGACAATTTTCATATATATTGATGAAGGTTGGGATACCTGTCTATAGAAAATTTTTTAAATCAGTCACATAAAGTAGTCCCCTAGAAAAACTCAGGTAACTTCAAAATATCCATGCATTAGTTAATAGACATATGGGTAATTAAACATGTTCTTCACCAAAAAATCCCCATCTCCTCAAATAATATTTCACACTGATACACTTCCTTCTTTAGATGTCATGTCTGGACTCCAACCTCACATAACTGCCCAGTTAGGTATCTAATGTTCAGTATATATACAGTATAACTCGTAGGTAAGAAAGCTCAGATTTTCTAATAAGTGTCCCTCATCATAAAATCAACTAGAGGTATCATGGTTTGAAAGTGAAATGGTTACTAAATTGTTTGAGCAGCATTGAAAGAAAAAGGAAAACCAAAAATTAACACCCCATGGGAGAAAGTAATTTGCATTTACATTCAGGGTAACTCCTTGCAATAACACTGGCGAGCATCAGGTGCAAACTCTGGATATAGTAAAATATTTTTAGATTTAGAGAACTGTTGGGGAGGTGAGGACCTGATAAGCAGAGTATGGTTCATGTCTGCGGGGAATGCTGAGCAGCAAAAAATGGATGGAACAGTAGCACAGGAACATGCCCAGGAGTGGTTGCCACCAAACACAAATAACACTTGGGAGCAGCAAGTTTTTAGACAGAACCAACTGGTTTCCAGCAGGCACATCTGAGTGTGCTCCCTCTGAGCAAAGTGGTGGTGCCTTCTTTCCTGTGTGGGGAAAGGATGGTGCTCCCAAGGCCTCACACAGCAGACTCTGAAATCTGTGCAGCCAATCTGAACTTGGCTTGTTTTACTCCCCGATTGGTTTTTATTTCCCACTATGCTAGACAAGAGCCACAGATATCTTCTGCTGATTTAACAGAGCTTCTTGAAACAATCCAAGAGCAATGAATATTGTATATATATTGCAATCAGTCAATGTTGTATGTATAAGTTGTAGAGCATAATGGACGGGATGAAATATTTATTAGATCACAGAATAGGGAGCCAGGAGGTCCCAGATTTTGCAGATGTTCTCTCCAACAAGCCATTTAAATTGGTATCTATTTTCTTCTCAGAGCTAATGAGTGAACAAGGGAATATTACTCGGACTCCTGAAAGTACTCTAAGGACAAACCAGTTAATATTCAGAAAGTGCTTTGGGATTCAATTATGTACTAAGCATCATTAAATCTAGCCTAAAAAAACCTTTTCCCAGGATAATCAGGACCTGGTTCTAATGTTAATGCCATGCTTTAACACCACAGAAACATTTTATTATTCACTCCCATAATAGACAGCAAATATTTATCCCAGCAGATGTACTTACTGAGCAATACTGCTTTTTGCACTGGACAGGACACTTAACCCTTTGGTCTGTCTGCACTTTCATTCGCATGTCTAACACTCCACCAGTGGGAGGCTCCTTCCCTGGAATTTCGTTGTAATATTCATGATGATCCTCCCTCTCCTGTGAATTCCCAGCTGATCCATTAGCATTTGCTGCCTCACTGAAAAAAATATGCGGGGAAAAAATGAAGCTTCTGATGTAATCAATTGCTCTAGTGCAGGCAAACATCCCCAGTGACTGCACAACGCACAATACACAGATCCGCCATATGGAGGCTGTAAAGTGCTTTGGGCTGGAACTTTCAGAGCTGTTTATTTTTCCAGTTACTTCTTCCTGAAGTAAAACTAGTCATGACAGTTTGGGGTAGAGGGAGGTACAGTCATTTAATTAGCACCAGGCAGCCCAGATATATTTTCAAGTTAAAGAAAAGGTAAGAGAAATCTACTGAAACTTTAAGAATTCCAATGCTTTGTTCACTAAAGTATCCAAAATGTTGACCATTAAATTAATTCTTATCACTTCTTGACTGATCTCTATAAATCTAGATATTGCTGGGGGACAGGCAGACTTCAAGAGAAAAATTAAAACCTCATGGCATTTAGTCAGACAAGCCTGCAACTGTTTTAGAAAATCAAGTATTGCTACCAAAAAAGAAAAAAAGAAAAAAAAAAAAAAAAAAAAAAAAAAAAAAAAAAAAAAAAAAAAAAAAAAAAAAAAAAAAAAAAAAAAAAAAAGTAGCTGTTCTCAGAAGCATTTACCCCAATTTTAATAACCACAATCAATATTCTGGTTCAGCTTGAAGGGAACGCTGAATGACATGAAGAAGAGCACACAATGGTTTTCTTGAGCTAAACCAGAATGATGGTAGTTTAAATGTGCAGCTGATACACTGCAAAACATCTAGGTGCTTCCTGTACTGTCTCCGGTCCCAAAATAAAAAAACTCATCTCAAATCTTAGTTCTCTGATTAACAAGAGTATAATTGGATAAAAGGCCAGGAGCAGGAAAGAGATAAAGTTCAAGTAGTTGATTATGTGATATGCAGTGCAAGTATTTGATTATGTGATTCATAGTAGTTTGGAAGGGAGTGACTCATTCACACAGCAATATCCGACTCCTCTGCCCAAGGACCATTCTCAGAGGCTGGCTGTGGGTAATGATCAAGGAGGAAATCTAATTACCCTCTTCCATTTCTCCCTGCTCCTATTCTGCTTGTGCCATAATCTAGCAGGACTTCTTAGGAAATAAAGGCTTTTCTTAGGAAAGACAGGTTATTTTCCCCAGGAAAAACAGACCAGTTTTAGCAGTGGAATTGCAACCACTATATATGTTGAAATAAATATAAACTGGAGTTGCATTTATGCAATAAAACCAGCTCTGCTGTGATGCATTAGGCCCTGTTCCAGTGACACTGCCTGCTCAGGACTCCTGTGCTCAGGGTGCAGGTAAGCAGTGCCTCAGCTTTACCTACTCATGGGAAGTAAACAGGCAATCAAATTTGGTGTTACGGTAAAAAGAAGCCTGAGAAAAATAGGCATGGCTAATCTGTGAGGAGAGCCATAAATTAGAGCAAGAATTGCGTCCCCAGTGCAATGGAAGAAGGGTAATTGAAATGGGGAATCATGGTCCAGAAACTAATCTAGGCCTTGTATTTTGGGCAATGTGCAGAGGACGGGGCTTCTCACTTTAAAACGCCAGGTGGTGGCTGTGTTTATTTCAGTTCATGAGGCTATGTAAGTCATGCCAGGTGAAAACTGAAGCTGCTGCCAGGACATGAGCAGAATAGCAGAAAGGTGAATTAAAATGCCTTTTTTCCTCACCACACACTTTCTACAGCTGCAACAAGCTTAAACTTGGCACAGGTCAGGACTGAGCTCAGTCTCTGTGTGTCTGCTATTTATAGAGCTGAACTTACTTGGGAAGAGTAATTTGAACATTTGTTTAACTTGCATGACTTAAAATAAGGCTGCTTTATCTGAGGAACAATACAGCTTAATTCTGTGTTCTGCACCTGTACAAATGTCAAAAAATCAATGGAGTTCACTAGAATAAGCTAATTTTGCTATCTTATATGCTGCACATATAGACATACATTTGAATTATCTTATGTCCAGAAAGCATATTCAAAGCATCTTACTTATGGATCACTCTTCGTAGTCTATTATTTTCCTGAAAAGTACTAAAGAGAAGGAAACTGCCAGTTATGTGACTGCGAATGCTGACCTTTCATTAGATGTAACCAGGCTAGATGGGTTCTTCAGGTACTGTCTGAACCGGAGCTCAAAAGCCTGCCCTATGGTGTTGATCACCTCCTGTGCCATCCCATTGGGACATTCCAGGATGTGGCATGCTGAAAAGAGATACCATACTTTAAGTAAATGCAGTTTATACCAGAAAGTAGAGACTCAAGCTATATTGCTTGTAGCAGAAAAGCAAAGCTCCTATCCCTTCATGGAGCCAGCAGCTAGTACAGCTTTAGACTGACCTGCAGATTCCCACTACATTCCACAAAAAATATGACATTTAAAGCCACAGCCTGCATACTATTACCCCTATACATACAGCAAAGCCAGAAATTGTACAGACTATTGAGCTGAGTTCAGTAGCTTCCTTATTTTAAAATTCAAACAATTCCTTGTTAATACAAATAAAGCAATCATATAAACACATATAACAACAGGAAACTTGTTTCAATACCTCTCTGATTAACAGGGTCTTTTGCTACATATGCCACGTAGTCTGTTGTATCCTACAAGAAAGAAGCAACAAATGTCTTGAACATTTTAATTATGAACAACCCTACCACCACAGCACAGCAATTGCATATAGACAGATACATTTTTAGCTTTAAAATGCACGCTTCTTTTAGGGAAAAACAACCAGAGGTACTAGCAAAGTGAGCCAAGGAAAGTGTCAGTAACACACTGGTGGCTATCAACACAGTAATTGTCCCATGTTCTTTTTCTTCTAAAAAATGCACTAGACCATTTGTCATTCTTTGGGTCTTCAATAAACCATGTATTCAATTCCAGCTCTGCAACAGGAGTAGAAACACAACTGGTGCCTCATCAGCCAGCAGTGCTGCTGCTTCCACTGCTGCCATGGAGCTCACAGCCTTTCCAATGTAACACATCAGGGCTGTGTGACTGCTGCTCACAGCTTTTGGCTGGGACAGTCCTTACCAGAACCAGGAGAAGATAAAATAGTGCTAACATACTGCAAAGGACAAGTTTCCAGTATTCCAAATTTGTAGCAATAAGATTGAGTTTTGAAGGCATCTTAGTGAAAAGTTAAACTTTAAAATTACGCAGAATAAAATGGGTATCTGATCCAAATTGCTCCTGCCCAGTTTTAGTCTGGCTACAATCAGGTTAAATTACCCTGGATCTTAAAGCTGCTGCTGAGATCAAGCAACCTCTGTATAATCAGTTTTCTGTTTCTGATTCTTTTTCTAGCCAGCACTGATATAATCCTCTTTTTCTAGTCAAATTGAAAAGGGAACTGGAATAGAAAAATTAACATTTCTAATGATACCACAAATGCAGAGAGTGGCTTGATAATTCAGTGTTATAGTAAATTGTTGAGGTAATGAATAACATTCTTTTAATTATTAAAGATGCATTTTGTTATTTTGGATCTTTAAGGTGGGACAGGGAAAATGCAATTCACAGCTTAAAGGCATGGTTCTCTTGAGGGAAGATGCAATCAGCTTGCAGGAAACAAGGTCCCATTTGCAATATGCACAAGAACAATCATTTAATAATTCAGAATGAATGACACAAGAGGCAGGTCTTAGGGCCAGCAGAACTTGTCCTAGATAATTTTTTTTCATCTCTAAAGTTAATATCATTAAAACAAAGCAAGCAAAATATTTCTTATGTGTCTAGTGAACTCAGTTTCCTTCCTTTTCCTTTCAAGTTTTTCTAAAAGTTCATAAATATTTTAGAATAGATATTTTAAAATAAATCAGATCTAGGCAGCGACTAGAAACTAAAGTAACTGGAGCAGCACCTGCTATTTTTTATGTCTTTTTAATGTTTATGTAGATGCCTGGATGATTTTGCTTTAAAATAAAGCCATAACAGGCTTAATTATCAGAAAGAATAGTGCTACTCCTTCACAGCTCAGAGCAAAACGAACTTCACTTAGACCCTGAATGTGGGGCAAGTGAAAAAACAGGTCTTGTGGAAACAATCTCCCATTTTAAATGTAAGTGGAATTTTGAAAAAATTACCTGAACAAGACAACAAGTGTCCCTTACGTGAAGGGCCACTAGATTTATAGTTACCACTGACGAGCAAGACCTCTGTTTTACATTATCCTCCCAGTAAGGAATGTCAGAAGCTGCTCCACCAAGCCCATTTCCTGCAGCACATCTGTGTGCATGCACATCTCTTGCTGGCCCTGCCATTAAGCACTGACCAAACCCAGCCCTGTGTAGCCTCAGAAATCTGAAGTCACTGTGCAAGACCAGTGCAGGATAATAATATAAAAAAAAAACCAACTAAAAAAGGTAAACGAGTCCTAAAGAATTACCCAACCCAGATAGATGCAATCTGGGTTGCTGCTTACAATCATTGCAGTAAAGTGTTTGGAATAGAATAAAAACCCTTTGACTTGAAAACATCCATGGCTGCATGGCTGCAACACTAGGAAGAACAGCCCTATCTGCAGGAAGAAGGTGGTTATGCCACATCTGTCTCATAGGAGCGCTTTGCTTGAGTGAAAACTAATCTAAAAATTTAGAGGTGCCAGTGCTGATGGCTTTTATGACAGGTATTGGCTCACTGAACTGATCAATTCCTATTTTCACATTCGTATTTTGAGATCCCCAAGTCAGAGGGCTTTTAAATGGACTGATGCTCATTGATGGGCAACAGCAAAGTTTACTATGTATCTACTAAAGATGCACTGAGTCACTATTCCGCATTTCCTTTTCAATGTCAGTCCCCCAGCTTTCTTGTATTACTGGTCATGACCCAGAAGTGCAATGTACCCTATTAGTGCTTGTGGAAGGAAAGGATGAAGCAAAGTATTTGCAGGTAACAATTATTACATAAGTTCATTATACCTGCAGAAGTATATTTTATAAATCAATACTTACCGGGTCACCTCCAGAAGCAAATGAGATGGACTGCATGTGATGGTTGGCAATAATCTGAAAAGCATAACAGACTAATTAACATGCTCTTGGGCCACACATTAGAAGACATCAGAGCCTGTCTTCATAGAACAAGCAGGTAAATTCACAACAATCCCATTAATTTATGCACGTATAATTTAGGAAGGAAAGAGATAAAAATAGGAGTATTTTTGAGACTACCCATTCATATTTAATAATGTCTAGATCCCTGAGAAATCTTCCTTAAGGAGTCTTCAGAATTAATTCAACCACAAACTTCTAAATCTTCAGAATTAATTCAACCACCAACTTCTAATTGTACCCAAAAGAAAGGAAAACCTGGTGTCCTAATTCCCTCCCAGGATGTGCAATGGAGAGGAGACCTCTGCACTACAGACAAACCCCTAAGAGCTCCTTGATGCTCAGCATGGCACCAGCTAAGTGCAGCATTCCTCACAGCCAGTGAGCCAAATTGAAAATGACCTCCCTGACCTGCTCCAGTTTGGAGCAAAACCTGCTGCTGGCCCGGGATGAGATCACTCAGGGAGCAATACCAACAGCTGAGGGAGGAATTAGGTGGGCAGGACAAAGATGCTTATCATATCTGCCAAGAAGGAAGGGAGCACAGTTCCAAGCAAACCCAGGCTCTCAGGAGCACACCTCCATGGAGCCTAGAGACTTTACACAGTATAATTGATTGTACACATGTAACATCCAGCTGTAAAATAGCTTTGAATGACACCAAAGCCAAACTCTGACTTAATACCTATATAAATTTTTTTCCTCCTAGGACTTGTCAGAAACTACAGTCAGGACTAGTGCCTTCTTCATTAGGTACTTTACTGACAAATACATCCAGAGAAAGAGTTTGTCAAGTGCTCAAGGATCCCTCCCCATGGAACACACCAGCATGAACAAAAAGGACCTGTGTTGTATGTCAATTCCTCCAAAGTGCTTTCATTTTTTAATTCAGAGGCATCATACAATTCAGCTTCACCAGGCATGCACAAGTCTGCTAAAGGGTGCTGCATTCCCTTTGAAGGGCACAGCCTTCCCTCAGAAGCCACAAACGAGACAAAACTGTAGCATGGAGAAAAGGACAGTGATTACATGTATCCTACCTGCTGCGTGTCAGCATTAATCAAAGTGAGGCTGTTTGTTGAAATGGTCAGCTTTATATTCATGCCAGAAAACTGAAGGTTACTTTTGCCAAGTACAGAAGACAGAAACTTCACTGGAGGCTTTGAACAAAGAAAGAAAAGAAAGAGGCTGTCAGCCCAGTCTGTGAGGGGCAGAAACATATGAAAGTCAAGGAGGTTTTATGGCATCTTATTGAGACTTTCAATGGAGCAAGGATAATGACTTGATCAAATGCAAATAGATCTTCTAACAAACATCAGCTCTGAACACAATACTGGTAGGAATGGGTTCTATGTCAATAATAGGGGAAGAAAGTTTTAAAGCAAAATCCCAGTGATCTAAATGCTATAGCTGGCTCAGTAATTCACAATGTGCAATTTTCTTTCTGAACTCTTCTTTGTTTCCAGAGGATGAAGTGCTTCTGGGTGAAGCAAGAAATTCTCTCATTTATTCCTCTTTCAAGAGTAAGTTCATTCCTCTTGAGCTCCACAGTTACAGAAGGAAATCTCTAAGTTCTGCTGGACACAACCCAAGAGTAACCACTGACATTGCCCCTCATTGCATCCCAGTGACTTAATAAAATCCATTAAACACTGCCATTTCAGTTGTGTTTAGTTTTTTGTATATATAAATAAGCAGCAGATAATCTTCCAATGAATTAGCTCCCTCTCACAAAACAACAACAACAAAAAAAAAAACCCAAAAAAACCCAATTCCAATAGTTTAGCAGCCAAAACCTAAAACTTGTAAAGCATCATGTACTGCAAGGGCTGGTAGAAGGAGGAACTCTGGGCAAAGCATTAATTTTGAGAAAAATAAAGTAGGGCATAGCCTCAGCACCAAACCAAATGGGCTAAACACCCTGCTACCATGTTATTCAGGCTGAGTTCAGATGGATTAAAATGCACTAATTCCAGCACGGATTGAAGCCTATTAGAGAATCATGCATCCAGCTTATCAAAAGCAGATACAGAAAAATAACTGCTGAGCTAAAACAGGATTTACCTTCCGCTTTTTTATAGCTCCATTTGTACCCGACACAGCTTCACACAGTCGGCTTATTGCTTCCCTGCAAATAAAAAAATACAGCAGAAACTGTTGGATCATATCACATGCACCATCTGTAACAGAGCCAGCAACTCTGCAATTTATTGTTATCGGCCCACTTATAAACTCTTAAATCTTCTGGAAGGTCTTTCACAGTTGTTTTTCTTTCTTCTTTCCTCCCGCTGTTAAAAAAAAAAAAAAAAAAAACCAAAAGAACTATTTAACAAAATACAGTGATTCAGCAGCCTGGTTTGGATTCTTTGTCTTCATCAAACACATTCATTTCACCTTGTGAGAATTTGTTTAATAATAAAAACTCAAACATAACTAACCAGAAGACAAACAACCTAATGCCTCCAAAGCCTTTTTCTCAACATGATTGATAGGTCTCTTGCATGGCAGGAGGGGTTCCTCCCTGCTTAATTCTTCCTATTTAGCACAGCAGGTGCATGCTGAGTGAGCCCAGCTGGGTGCTTTGATTGACTTTCCGAGGTTTGGGATTTCTTTTCCAAAAAAGAAAAAAAATCCAAAACAACACACCTCCTCAAACAAAAACAAAACAAAACAAAAAAAAAAACCAAACAAAACAAAACCCAACCAAACCCCAAAAAACCAAAACAAAAGACCAGAACCAAAACCAAAAACACAATAACCCAAACAACACCGTGGAGGGGTGGGGATGTATAATCAGCTTCTCCAGTTCCTTTGCAGAGCTATCAGTCCATCTCTTTCCATCTCTGGTAGGAATTCCCAAACTAGACCTTCTCTCTAGCCACCACTTCTCCTCTGCAGGTTCCTCTCAGTTCAGGCAGCAGAAGGGTAATACATAAAGCATGCACAGTGCTCATTTCTAGATGAAAGATAAAGCATACACAGGATAACAGAGTGATGTGCTATGCCTGTTTTCCACACTTGAACAAGGCAAATTCTGGTCTTTGCTCAGGCAAGTGATTGCTTTGGACATACAGCACAGCACTGATGGCCCTGGTCAAAGTTAGCACAGCAGCTGAGACAAAACCTTTCTGCTGGCTTTACAGTCACAGACTTTTCCTCACTGATAGCTACTGCTTTGAAGCCAACAGGAAAATGGTGCCATACTGGGCTGGGGTGTGCTCAGCAAGTTCCCACAGCCTTGCCTGGACATCCCGGCTGGAGCCGCAGCCCCGGCGTGTCCCTCTGCCCTGTCCCACAGGGGCTGGCGCCTTCTCAGCTTAGGGGCCCATACTGGGCACTTCAAACCTCACCCTTTCTCCTGCAGCTGAATTCAGACTTATCTTCCAAGGCTGGGGTTCTGTTTGGTTCTAAAGGGGAAGGGAGTTTGTTTGTTTGTTTGTATTATTGAATTATTATCCAAGGAGCTAACTAGGAAACAAGCTGGTTGGGAAAGCTTGTCTGTTTCCAGATCCCAGCGTGTGTGTGGGAGGAAAACACCACTGGCCTTCACCTCCTGAGAAATATTTAGTCCAGAAGGGCTGAAAAGTATCAGGAGACCACACGATGACAAGAGGCTCCAGCCAGGCATGTCCCATGAAGCAGAGATGCCTGGTGAGGATGCCCAGTGGTGCCCCCAGGGCCCTGCAGATGAGAGAGGAAGTAAAGCTGGCCCAGCGCCAGTGAACCCCGGAGTCACTGCTGCCCCTGCTAGTGTCCCCTGGGCTGCCACAGCAGGGAGCTGTGTGCTGGAAGCACTGAAGATCACTGATATACACTGAGACTTCCTGCCAGGGAACATCCTGAGAAATTCAACCTGGATGCTGTCAAATGAATGGAGACCTCACCCATAGCAATATATCATTAATATTTTCTGAGTGAAAACAGCAGGGAAGAAAAGGGGCACTGACCCTTCTTAGCATTTAAAAGCAAAGTACTTCCCCCTACACAACTGAAAATATGTTTTTAAAGCTAATTCCTGATGCCCTACTTGGTTAGCTCCTGTTTCATTTAGCTGTTACCAGGAGGAAGGACAAACATGACCAAAAAAAAAAAAAAAAAGAAAAGAGGAAGGCATCCTGCAGAATGATCTTGCAGATTCCAATAATTGGCTTGGAAAATGAGAACTCATCTTCTCATTCAATATTAAAGGAAATTAAAATCAGAGCCAAGACATTAAGGCTACTTGGAGCCTTCAAGTCTAGCCTTACCTAGAAAGAAAACCAGATACAAAACAAATTGGAAAAACAGGGAAGTTGTCTCTTTTGGTGACAAATGAGTAATTGAACATGTCCTGCAGCCCATGTGAAATCAAACATTGCAGGAAGAGTTGCCAGCCACAGAACCTGTTCTTGTACAAGCCAGTGTGATGGCTGCCCACTTCACCATGCTCTGAAGCAACTGTCCAGTGAAAAGGAACCAAAAAGTAGCAAACCATTTCTACTTAATAGTTTCTATTACCTCTCTTTGGTAGGGGAAATAGTTGTACTGACATTTCTTGCTGCGTACCTCTGGGTGATTTTCCCAGTGATCTAACAAAACTTTACAAATATTATTTGAAAGGCGTAAAAAGCAAGAGTTTGGTAACACCTGCTGCTACAACAGAACACTTCCTACATGCAGTCATTTCCACAAACTAGAAACTGCACCACACAGTAGGAAGAAACTCTGGATGCATCCATGATAAACTGAAATGAGTGACCCATTTTTGGCATCCATAAGCCATTAAACCAGCTTTTTGTTTTGTTTTTTTTCAGGCCCACTCAGAAGTACAGTTCACAGGTTTTCTCTGGGTCTGCAGCCCTGGAGTGAAACCTGTGGCAAGCACAGCTCCTGCAGCTCCCAGAGGGTGCCCGTGAGGGAGAGCGCCTGTGGGCAGTAACACTGAGCCACTTTGTTTATTGTTCCCCCAAAATGAGAATAAAAGATGAAAGATGGGCTGATGTAAGCAAGCAAGCATGCTGTTGAGGATTTGCTTTTAAGCATCTAGGGCCCTGCCTACACCATGTAACAGAAAGGGATTATGTGGCTCAACAAAGTTGAAATTAATCTTCCAAACAAAGTCAGCCTTCTTCCAGCAGCCCTCCCTGGCTGCACATTTCAGACACCCTTCACCCCCCGCGTCCTGACCGTTTTCAAGTTTGCAAGTTAATGCCCCAATCCAAGCTACAGAATCTCTTTTCCCAGAAATGCCCAAAGTTGATGACTAACAACCAGCTTGATGTAACAGAAGTGGGAAATGTGTAAGAGGAAAAGAGCTGAAGGGCTGGACAAGAGAAGCTCACATCAGGGTCCAGCAAAGGCAGGACCTGCCACAGCAGAGGGGTGACAACCCAAACACATCTTGTATCCAGAGCAGCAAGCTAACCATTACAAAAAAAAAAAAAAAAAAAAAAAAAAAAAAAAAAAAAAAAAAAAAAAAAAAAAAAAAAAAAAAAAAAAAAAAAAAAACAAAAAAAAAAAAACAAAAAACACAAAGACCTTCAAGATGAAGAACCTGTCATGTTTATTGCTATTTTTTGGTGTTACTTTTGTCATTAACATGGAGTTTGAGATCACAGATTTCTGCAAAATGGGAGGGATGTCCCTAAGAACAAGTCGGGTCATGGATGGGCAAGCAGAAAGCTGGAAAATTGCAATGGAATCTCCTCTGCCCTCCTCACCCCACAGCCACCAAGGGTAAACAGCACCTCAGTGCCCAGCCCTTCTCTAGCTGCACTGTGGTCATTTAGCCTCTGCATCCCACAGTCATTCACAGCACCAGAGAGGCCACACTCTGCCTTCCTGACCATGTGCCTGCCAAGCAACTGAAAATGCAAGTCCAGCAAGAAAACAGAAAGTAAATTCTCCACGTTCATTCCTTCGGATTCTGCACTGCACTTTGGCAAACATGAGCCTGTTGATCTTTCCAATATTCACGAGAAAGGTAAATAATATCTGCAGTTTTAGATACCATGAGGTAACTAAGCATGCACATACACATAAAGCGATGCAGGGCGCAGGCATAACTAGAGACCTCTTCTACATCACTTTAAAACAGAAGATGCCTCTTTGTTTAGTAAAATGCCATTGAAGTAAAAACATCCTTTACCCCAATTCAAATAATAAGCATGGTTAAAATGGGATAATTTCCAGCAGCTCCTTGGTTGGTGCATTGTGCATGTGTCTATAAACCTGTTCCCCCGAGAGAGCAATAGGGGAATAATCAATGTTATCTTTGCTCCAGTCAGCTTGTCATCGATCAAACTTTAAAGTCTGCATGTGTGAGCTCAGCACTTCAGCATTTGGTTTGCAAACAGTTTAAGTTTTGAATTTCTCATGCACAAGAGAGCCCGTTAAGGTCAGCAGTGGGATTTTTTATATGGTGATGGAAATATTTCCATTGTTAAGTTTTGACACAGTTCTGCTTAACAAAACCTTACTATCTAGCCCAAATTTAAGTTGGCAAGCTCTTTGTCACGCAGTAATTCATATTCATTATTTTCCTGACAAACCAGCCAAAGCTCTGTTCTGTTAGCACAGCAGCACACACACCTCTTGCAAACAGGAGATAACCTCGCCCTCTGGCTGAGCTGTGAAGAACACAGTGGCTTGGGTGTATTACATGGCTCTTCTTAGTCTGTAAAGGACCTGCTTAGGGAAGTATATTGGTATCTCAGGCACTTCTTCATGCACACATGCATGGGTGAGTGTGTACTTATACCAGTTGTAAATGTCAACAACTGCTGGTTTTGAATATAAAACAAACAGGACAGCTTTCAAGTGAAGTCTATAGGCATTGAAAGACTCATGTTTTTCAGTTCCTTTCAGCTGATAATTCTGGGAGCCAACAGGTATAAAGTTAATACTAATCCCTTCACGTTGCTTTCCTTTCTCCATGACTTTTTGGATACAAACATGAGGAAGCAAAGCATCTGAAAATCTCCCTCCAGCAGGAAGGAAGAGCTGGGCAGGCACAGGAAGCCTCAACCACACTCCTGGCATCCTCAGCATGAACTATGCCAGAAAAGCAGCTGAGAGGACAAGGGAACATGTCTAAGGCCAGGTGAAGATAACCTGCAGCCACTCACCTCTCCAAAAAGCTGTTGGGTGGCTGCTGGGGCTGCCTGGCACTAGTCCTGACTGTTGGACCATGAGCACACTGCAGCACCACACAGCACTCAGAGCTGGATAGAAGGTGATTGTTTTGAAAACTCAAACACTCCCTCACTGCAAGACTTGCAAGAATAAATGTAAAAATGAAATTGTGCTTTTCTATTTCTGACAGGACATTTCAGCCACCCTACAAGCATAGGAGAAACTGGCAGTAACCTGCAAAAGAAATTGCAAAGTTCTCAAAAGACCACAAAATACTTCAAATTTTAACCACATCCCCAGTTGTATCTGAGAATGAAACATTAATCTTTTTCTAATTTGCAGCCTAAAAACTTAGGCTTGCAGTACAGATGGAAACAGCTGTATTTCAACATGTTTTCCTTGTGACTCCACTTCCAGCTGAGCCTGGTCTTGGTGCAGATGGGGTCAAGCGATGTCATACATCTGATAAAAATTCCCTAGATGACCCTGCTGGTTTGAGGGACTGATGGCACCTTCTGCATGGGGTGGGAAGCGGTGTCACAGAGAGACCCATGAGGGTCCTGGCTCTCCACCTTGGCCACGGCACCCACAGGCACAGCAGCACAGTGGATTTCCCCTGTGCCTTGAGAGAGCCGTGCAGGCAGCGCTGAGCCACGTGCAGAGCCCAGCTGCTGCCTTCCCCAGCTGCCTGGGGATATCTGCTCCGTGCTGCCATTGCAGGGGGAGGCTCTCTGAGCAAGAACTGGGAGAGAAATCACATCTGTGCCTGAAACAATTCATTTTCCAACGCAAATAGCCTATTGTAATGATCAAATCATTCAAATCATCACTTAGGAAAAGACAAAACAAAGCATGCAAACTCCTCTTCAAAAGTGTCTCAGAGCTAGGCACGCACCCTCAGCTTTATACAAAAATTAACGTTCTTGGTTTGAATCTCTGTTTTACACCACCTACCTGGTGACTTGTGTTCGTGTGCCAAAGTCCAGGGATCTCATCGACTGCAGCACCTCAATACAGCCCATGTACTATGGAAAACAGAGAAAAGGGAGGACTGTTAATATCTGGTGCACAGGTAATAGGAGGATCACAGGAGGAAGCAAATGTGATTACTGTCCACTAAGTTTATGCAGAACCACAGTCTAAATGGAAACTCAAATCAGCCATCCTAAAGCTGCTTCCTAAATAGATCTTATTTTACTAAAAGTGTAGAGAAGAGCAATAAAGATACCAATGGCTTAAACACTATAGCACCAAAAACAATCAAAAAAGGCAAAGCACGCTGGGGACACAAAATCCAATTATTCCTTTTTTCCCATTTCTGCTTACTCTCACATATTAGCCTGTGACACTGAGCTGGGAGAAATACATGAGGAAATACTGGAGAGAACAGAGTCCTCAGGAGAAGAGAGGCTTTGGAAGCCCCTCGAGACCAATGTACTCAGAGGCCCCATGCAGAAGAGCTGAGTGTCCCTCAGAGAGTAGGAGGCATTACAGGCCACAAGGAAAACCACTGGCTCCACACTGCTACAGGTCTGATGACAAATAACCTCTGCAGAAGATGAAGGATGTGAAGTTGCAATCCCAGCTCATAGCAACAGCTCTTAAGAGCCTACACTACAAACTGACCTGCTTTAAATTAAAGGCTGACTGCCACACTTCTCTTGTATGGGACAGAGCTGGGGCTTTTTCTATACTCATTTGGGATATTTATAAGACTAATTATCAGAAATATTAAGGATGTGATGGCATATCCCCAACTATATCTTACTAATCATTCAGCATTTCTATGGATGTCAAGCTCTGTTGTTGAAGCAGTCTGATCCCTTCATTTCCACAGGCTGGCACAGGTCTGGGTATCTCATTTTTCCTCTTGGAACCATCCTGCAGTGCTCACATGGTGCCCAAGGGCTGCAGTCACAGCATGCCTGCAGGAAGTCAAAGCCTCTGGGACACAGAGACAACTTGGAAAACCCAGGCAGGGGCATGCATACTCTGTCCCTTGTCTGCACGGATGGAGAAGGCATTCTGAATCAGAGAAAGGTACCATATTTAGTTCCTCTGCCTCATTTTGCCTGTAAATAATTTTTTCTGCTGGGCCATTCAAAGAGGGTTTGGTTTAGGTATCTGTTTCAGTTTTGGAGACTTTCAGAAATAAGTGTGTGAAAAGGAGAATGTTATATGTGCAGTCAGGGATTCCACAACAATTGTATTATCCCTATTTTGCTTTCTTTCCAGATAGCAATGTAACCCTTGGGAGAACTCCAGAATTAGGTCAGAGACCTGGAAGGACATCAATAAGAATCTGAAAGGTTGGCAGAACTGCTTCCCTAATGAACATTTAATGACTTTGAGAGCTATCTGCCTTGTTAAAGATATTCCTGCTTAACAGGAACAAAGCAAATGTGGAAAATATGTCTAGAGCCTCAGCTTGTAGCACAGCAATGACCTCCGATCCTACAGTATAAGGTCAAGCATCCTGTGAGCTGGTTGGCTGCTCCTCTATCCTTGAAAAAAAGAAAAATTTAGAGAAGTAGGTGAGTCATATGCTGACAAGTGAGTCCCCATTGCATCCTGAACAGATGCGTGGGAAGCTACTCTAAGCAAAGATGAAAAATCAATATTAGGTTTTTGCATAAGTGACCCTGAGTGAAGCTGAACTTATCAATGATTCACAAAAGACCTTTTTTTTTTCTCTTTAAAAGCCCGAGTAGGGAAGTGCATTAACATGGCACCTCACTGCATCTCTCATTTATTTTAGCTGTCATTGGTTATCTGAACTGGCACAGTTAGAAACGGCTGAACCTTCACATTGCAGTATGAGGGTAGAGAGAACCAGCAGAGCCTTGGGCAGGGGAACAATGTGGGGCTGGGGCAGGGCAAGTCAGGGTTACAGAGCCTGGGAGAAGCCTATGGAGCACACAAAAGGACAATGAAATACCAGAAGCCTATTCAAGAAAACAAAAGATGCTCTCCAAGGAAGGAAAAAAAATTAACAATAAACAAAAATATTAACCCCTCCATAGCAAAATATGAGATGCAGCACAAGCAATACATGAAAGAAAGGGGAAGGCAGTGGAGGAGGACAATATTTGTCTCAGAGACTCCTGCACCCAAATTCCAGTTCAGGTGGTGCCCCCACTCCCCGTCCTGTACACCCCAAACAGCACCTCCCAGGAAAACATAATGGGCTTCTCTGGTGATGCAGGGTCAAGGCCAGCTCCATCTTTCCTGCTGCAGGGAAGGTTAAACTAAAGCATGAGCAGGGCAGCAACCACAGGTGCCTGGGAGAGGAAGACACAGCAGCCCACAGATCTTGCTCCAGCACAAGTTATTCACCACACCAGGTGCTTTTGTGAAGACCAGGTCCAAAGGTGGCGTACAGGGAGGGATGTTCATCTTCTGAAGCTCACAGAGAGGCAAGACACAGTTCACTGAGCTAGGCAAGCTGGGGGAAGCTGGACACAGGCCCAAGGGTGCACTAACCAGCCTGGGGCAATAAGCACAGATGTAACTGTAGAATTCAGCTACCTTTAGAAAACAGAACAGCAAGAGTGAAACAAGCCAAGTGCTGAAGACCTGACATCGCTAATGAAAGCGGATGCTGAACCCACTGTTCTGTCAGCAGCAGGATGGAGAGCTCTTGCCAAGACAAGCAGCAGCTCTTAGGAAGGAAAGACTCACTGGCCCCTGCTGGAAACGGAACGACTCCACTAATGGCAACACGTGCAGAGATATCCCATCTGCCTGCACTGGCACCAGGAACTGCCTTGTCCCTTGGTGTTTGAGTACAGAGGGTGATCTGGGGCTGGCTTGCACTTCCCCACACCACCAGGAGAGAACAGCAGTTATTGAAGATGCACACACCTTTTCACATCTATTTATGTGAGATGACAGAAAGTGACTGCAAACAAGATGAGGGACTGTGTGGGAGGAGATGAGAAGGCACCAGGCAGGGCCCATGTGAATAAGCAGCACATGGCAGGACAATGCAGAGTGCCAGGCTCAGGAACTTGTTGTGAGATCTCTCTGCTTTCACTCTAGTAGGAAGGTAAAGTGCTACCCTCCCTCCATGGACAACACCAGAAGCCAGCCAGGGATGTGGGGAAGGAGCAAAGCATGATTAGTTTTTCCCTACCAGAGCTACTACTACCAGTAGTTTTGGTAGGGAAATTTTCTCAGCCCTTCTTTAGATGCTGCCTTGGTGTTAGAAAGTCACTGTGTCCACGGGAAAGCAGAGACCACCAGAGGTCCCCTGGCAGTGGCACTGCTCCTGCCAGCACACAGACTCCACTGTGCCAGTTAGCTCAGCCACTCATCCTGCCTCACACAGCAGGGTTTACTGTAACGCTGTTAGCAGCCACTAGTCAGGCAGCTAATGAAGAACTTTGGCCCAGGTTTGTGCCCTGCAGGACACTCAGTTGGCTCATTCCTCAGTTTGAACCACACCGGTTTCCTCCAGCAAACACCAGCCCCATCCAGATCCAAAAGCAAAGCCAGCAGAACCTCTGCCATCCCCACCACAGGAAGCAGAGAGGCCAAGGCAGCCCACAGCAGCAGTGCACACCACTGCAGACGTGGGTGGTACCCCCAGGGCACCTGTGAGACAGCACAAAATCCAGGCAGAACCAGCTGGAAAACAGACCAGATACCTTCAAGGATTAAAAGATCCTATTAATGATCATTAGGCACAAACCCACATCCTCCCAGTAGTTTGTCAGTGCTAGCCTTACGCTCCTCATGTGCTTGCCGTGCTCTCATCTTCCCCCCTGCAGCAGCAGCAGTGCAGACAGACAGACAGACAGACAGGCCCTTGGTCTGTCCCACTCCTCATGCGCACGCATCACAGCCTTTACCCTAAGGGCAGCAACCAGGGCTTTTTGTGAAGGAGAATGGTTTTTGATAAATGAAAGTTTTTATGGGAAAGTCTGACCCTTTCATTCACAGGTTTTCAATTTTTAAATATATCATGTGAAAAAAAAAAGGGAAAATCCTAAATACAGACATATAGTAATATTTTCCTTTTACCTTTCTTTTTAGCTTTGTTTCCTGAAAAAACACTTTCTGCAGCACTGCACTCAGACCAGATCTCTAACGGAATTGTTCCCAATCCACCCTGTCCCCGTTCTCCGGCTGTGAAAAGCAAATGGCCTGAAAACAGGCAGGTTCCTGTGGGAATGGGTTCCCCAGAGGCGCGAGTGCCCCGCGGGCACTGCCGGGTGCCGAGCGCATTCCCGTGGGACGCTGCAGGGCTGCCCAAACCCCAACCCCGAAACCCCAAACCCCGAGCCCCAAACCCCGAGCCCCAGACCCCAGACCCGAGCCCGGCAGCCCCGGCTCGTGATTCACAGCGGCGGCTCCTTCCCGCGGGAGCGCGGCTCCTTCCCGCGGGAGCGCGGCTCCTTCCCGCGGGAGCGCGGCTCCTTCCCGCGGGAGCGCGGCTCCTTCCCGCGGGAGCGCGGCT